CCCCAAAACCCCAAAACCCCAAAACCCCAAAACCCCTTAACTTGAAGATAAAATTGAAAATTTAATTTGGATCATAAATTCCATCATGAACAAGATCTTGACTTCGAAGTTGTCCCTCTTGAACATGCCACGTAGGGCTTACTCGGGGAATCCTGAGATATACAACACCATTTTTGACCACTATGTAAAGCCAGGCAAACACAGAGTGGTAGGAGCTTGGCTCCTAGCAGTCTCTGCCTCTGTCTTTGGCATAATCACCATCGGTGGGTATACCAGACTCTCCAAGTCTGGTCTTTCCATGGTGAAATGGAAGCCTCATGGGGGCTGGCTTCCCTCCACACAAGAGCAATGGGAGCAAGAATTTGAAGAGTACAAGGAATACCCTGAATACAAGGTCACTAACAAGGACATTGATGTAGAGTACTTTAAGAAAATCTACTTCGTTGAGTGGTTCCATAGAATGATCGGCAGAGGAATCGGAGTCATATTCACAGGCCCAATGGTCTATTTCTGGGCAAGAGGCTATTTTAGGTACAGAATGAAAATGATATCAACAGTCTTACTCGGTCTAGGAGCCTTACAAGGAGGTATTGGGTGGTGGATGGTCAAGAGTGGCCTTGTGGATAAGACAAAGACAAATGAGGTAGACAAAACACCTAGAGTATCTCCCTATAGACTCAGTGTCCATGCAGGGTTTGCATATGCTATTTATGGTATATCTATTTGGAATGCATTCACTCTTCTCAGAAGACCTCAAGAAGACTTTATTACTCTCAAAAATTTAGTTGATCACAACCTTATGAGACACAAAATAAGAGCTGCAGGCTTATTGTTGACCGCAGTTTATCTCACAGGATTCCTCGTTGCTGGAAATGCTGCAGGTCATTCATGTAATACATTCCCTAAAGTTGGAGATGACTGGTTTATCAAAGGAAAGCACTTCATATCAGACATCCCTCTTTGGAAAAATTTTACGGAAAATAAGCTAGTTATTCAAGTAATTCACAGAACATTAGCCTGTGGCGTAGGTTCCCTCTTCTTATACAATATTGTGAAGTTAATGGGCATGAACCTGACAGGCAGGGCAAGATTTTCTTTGCTCCTTCTATCAGCAGTGGTCCTAGCTCAGATCACTATCGGGATAAAAGTGGTCCACAACAGCGTACCTTTAGAACTTGGCTCTCTTCATCAAGTTGGAGCAATGACTCTTCTCACAGCGACTCTTTTCGCCTTACACTCTTGTAGAAGACTAGATTTAAGGCACATGAGGAACCTCTTCGGGAAGTTAAAAATGGAGAACCCTGAGCTCTACAGAAACATGATGAAGAACGCTAAGTCAAGCACCCCTGAACAAGTTATCAAGGACCTGAACAAATATAGAAGATAAGGTTGTCTCAACTTTGAAGTTTTTGATGAAATCCTGAATCTCAATCTAATAGAAATAAAACGGGGTTTTGGGGTTTTGGGGTTTTGGGGG